TGCCAAGCCGTGCCCTTGAAGTCTATTTTTGGGAATCCTCGGGGACTTCATTGCTTTGCTCCCCTTGCTGCTCTGCTGTACTCCCTTCATGTTTGGTCCGTGTGTGTGTGTGTGTGTGTGTGTGTGTGTGTGTGGTGCCAGACTGGGCACAATTCCCGCACGTTGTCTCGAGAGACTGTAAATCATTACAATAGTAGAAAACATTGTGTTTCTTCTGGGGAGCAGCTAGTGGTTTTGCCCTGTTGGCCTTGTGGTCACAGCCCCAGGCATAGCCACTCTGCCACCGGGGCTCCTGCACAGGCTGCCAATCCCAGACTGACAGGCGAGATGGCAGGCTAGTGCCCCACATGCGGCAGAGGCAAATGAGAGCCCAAATCTGCAGGTAATGGAGTGGGCTACTCACTCAGCCTCAGGACCAGGAGGTCAGAGGAAGACAGATCCAGAGGGAGCAAACTGCTGGGACACTCTGCTAGGACATTCATATTCATTCAGGGCCGGTCACAACCCCGAGGGGATTGCCTCTCAAAACATCAGCTGCGCGTAGAAGGTGTCCTCATGAAGGTAGTTGGAGTCTACTGTATGTCTCCACGGAGGATAGCCATATCACAACTTGACCCACCCAAGTGGTCCACAAACGTAACCATCACAGGCAGTGAGAGTCCTTTCTAAATGCAAGGTATAAGGAAGGCCAGGACAGTTTGGGTTCCGCATCCAGAGGGCTGTAGACAAGATGTAGTGCTGTCACCTCGGTCTGAACAGCTGACCCTGGCCTCCAGGAGGAGGGAGGCTGCTATGTCATAATGGGGGGCAGGGGAGAATATGTGTGGCGCTCAGGAGAGCCTCTGCTGGCCTCTTGGCAGTCCTTATCAATTGTGATGGTTAGAGGACAAGCCCGAGACATCCATGGTGACCAGGGCTGACGCTTCAGGGATGCAGTCCAGGTTCTCACCACTAGGTGAGTCGCAGAGCCTCTAGATAGCCTATGGTGGGCAGTGGAGGAGGGGCCCCATGGGTGTCAAAGGGGGCCCTGAAAACTGTTGCCCAGGCACAGGCTCTGGAGAATGTTCCACTAGCCTTCCTCCTGTGAGCTTTCTCCAGACAGAGAGCGCCCACCACCCACTGCCCCCAAAACCTGGCAGCAGCGAGCCCTTGAAGCAATTTAAAGGTGGACTGTATGGGACAGAGGCAGGCTGTCCAGACCCCTTTCCAGGGCAGGGCTGGGGTTCCAGCTGCTGGGAGTGTTGTGAGGAGAGAGGGCACCGGCTGCCACACCCCCAGCCCAGCCCCTTTCTGTGTAGTGACTCATTAGCCTGTGATGGAGGAGGAGGTGGGACAGCAGACACGCTGTCCCAGGAGGCCTGTGTGTGCTCCAGATGGAGTCCCACCCCCTCGGCTCAGCTCTGCTTCTCCCCCTCCTCGCCCAGATATTCATCCCTGGTTAAGACACTCGTGCCGGCCTCACCCTTGCACCTGCCTCTAAAGTATCCTGTGGGAGATGGTGCCCCTGTCTGGTCCGATGGTCTGCCATGGTGGGTGGGGTCTGTCAGGGACAGAGATGGAGAGAGGGTGGTGGTGTGTCCTCTCCAGTCAGAGGGCGGCAGTGGGTCCTGTCCAGTCAGGGGCAGCGTGCTCCATGCTACATTGCTGAAGACTCTGCTCAATGGGGGACCTGTCCTTAAGGCAGCCCTGTGCGGAGTGGCTGGTCACCTGGTGGCCTTTGTCTCTCCGTCCTGCCAGTCTGCACCTGGCTCCCTAGGACTCTTGGCGCATCCTCTCAGACTGTGTTCCCTGGTTGTGTGGCTGCCGCTGAGGCAGAAAGGGGGGCAGTGGGAGAAGGCTGCTTGGTGAGGGGCTGGCAGGAGGCAGGGTGAAGTTGGGGGGCACAGCCAGAACTCCCTGGTATCTCTAGTGATGAACACCCCCCAAAGGGGTCTGGACCCACAGGTTGAGAACCGCTGCTCTAGCGTGTTCATGCTGCTCACTCAAACCTGGGAGGTGGGGCCCCCTCCTCACCACGGCCCTCTCCTCCCTCTGCAGATGCTGTGGCTGCCACTAGTGACCTTGCTCTGCACGGAGGGCTCCCTGATCACCACCCCAGGTGAACTATGACCCCTCCCAATGCTTTCTCTGTCCTTGGCCTCTGGCCCTGCCCCTAGGGACCTGCCCTCACCCCCCCTAGGCAGATGATTGTCCAGCCGCTCCTGAGCTCCAGGGAGTGGTGGGACTGGATGCAGGGGGAGTCCCTGATGGCTCTCGATCTGTCTCCCCAGCTCCTAGCCCAGGGACCGAGTTTGTGGGCATCATCGGGGGCCATGATGCCCCACCCAAGAGGTGGCCCTGGCAGGTCAGCCTCCGAGAGTACAATCCGGAGCTTGTACTGTGGCAGCACGTGTGTGGGGGCTCCCTCATCCACCCCCAGTGGGTGCTGACCGCGGCCCACTGTCCCCTTCTGTGAGTGACTGCTTGCTGTCTGTTCCCTTGACTGGGTGGTGGGAAAGGTGTGGGGTCATCAGGGCTGGGGGTAGTGGTCCAGGACTCCTGGAAGCTCTGTGAGAGACACACACTCTGAGGAGTGGGGGTGGGGGACTGGCTCTGAGCCCTTTCTGCTGGGGACCACACCCTTCTCCGCAGCGCAGAGCCACAGCCGAGTGGCTACCGT